AGAAAACAGAGGAGTGGTTGCACAGGTGCAGGAAAGGATTATAACGGGACTGGGGGAATCTTTGGGGGTGATGGATATGTTTGTTATCATGGCTGTGGTGATGGTTTCATAGTTGCATAAATATTTCAAAACATCAAATTATACATTTTAAATGTGTGCAGTATATTGTATGCCAAGCAGACCTCAATAACAGTTTTAATTAACAAGTTGAGAAGTTTCTATTTAATTTGTTTTGTTTTTATCACAGAATATAAGCTTTGTAGAGCAGAGATATAGTTTATCTTGCTCATTTTGGGTCTCTAGTGTCTAAAGTTGGGTGTTCCAATGACTACTTTCTGAGTAACTAATTACCCCAAAATATAGTGGTATAAAATGGTCACATGTCATGCTCACGGATTCTGTGCATTAACACTTAGGGTAAGTGTGGGGTTGGCTTCTCTCTGCTCCATGATACTTAGGGTCCCAACCAGATTGCTGGGATGGAAACAATGGAACTCCTCTTAATCACTGCACAGTTCCTCTGCATGGTCTCCCCAGCGTTAAGGCTCAAGGGTAGCCAGACTCCTTAAATGTTAGTTCTGGGCTCTCACAGTCTGGCTTTCAAGAGAGAAGTCCAGGAGGGAGCATTGTCACCTTTTTTGTGATGTAGCCCCAGAAGTCACTAAGAGTCGTTTCCATCACATTGTTTTTGGATGAAGTGGTCTTAAGTGGTTTGCCCAGGTTTAAGGTGAAAGAATATAAACCCCACTCTCAATGAAGGATTTTCAATGTATTTTTCAACATTTTAAGAAGAACATATGAGATGGAATATATATTGGTTCCGCCATCTTTGGAAAATTCAATCTGCCACACTGTGTCTGTATCACATAAAGGAATACACCAATAGGAGTTAGTGATTTCAACATCATTTGCAGTCTTACATTCTACAAAAAATTAAATCAGGAATTCATTTAACAATCACATACAGTGCATCTTCTTTATACAATGTGGATTCAAGGAAGAATGTTATAAATTACACCCCGAAGAAGTTTATATTTCAATAAGATAAAAATATGAGAAAAAATAAAGAGAAATATGGATAATGGCAACTTAACATAGAAGGTTTAAGTCCTGGGGAAGGTGTTTAGTACTATCAAGGTTTTGAGAAAGCACAGACAACTCCTACTAGCTAAGAAATCAGTAACTACTGCATGGGGCATGTGGTATCAGAACTAGAATTTGAAACATTTGTAAGATGTCTACAGAAGATGCTGGGAGACAGGCATTAAAAGTAAGGAAATAAGCAGAAAAGTTTGATTCAAAAATTGACCAAACCTCATACATTATCTGAAACTCCAAGAATCGCTTTAGAGCTACAGATTCTATACCTCACTTCTAAGGTGTTCCAGTTTATTAAATTCCTGCTCCCCTTCCCAGGAAATTTTGATGATCAATCAGATTCTGGAACCATTGAGCTACAGGGTGTAAGTGGATTGGGGTAAAGATGTCTGTAAGGAAAGGTTAGGACCAAATCACAGGGGTCCTTTGAATATGAATCATTTGTCTGCTTTAGGATCTGATGATTATTGCACCTATATTAACTAATTTGTCACAGCACCTCGCTTTCTAACTAAACCCTGCACATTTGTGGTAAATCAGATTATGAATCAGTATTCAATAAACTGTAGTAGCACTAAATACTTGATGATGCATAGACAACCCCAAATGTCACTTTAAATAACAATTTTTTAAAACATGGAATTTTAGAGCGAGGAGAAAGTTTAGCAGCCCTTTCATTCATTTCCTTAAGGTCACAACCCTTTTATTTCTTGCTTAAAAGTAGGTATGAAGTTACTGATAGGCAACTTCATATTCCATGTGGCGGAGACTTCAGAAGTTAGTTTCACAAGAACAGTTTTATTGAAGAAACATTTTGTGATATGAAATGAAAGATGCCTTATACACACAAGATGTTATACCTATACTATTGCTGTCGTATTATTTAGAAAGCACATGCTTTTTATATCACTTTTATGCACTGGTAGATTTTGGCCGTTTTGTGGTTTCCTTTGATATATGATTTATTGTGTCAACTAATCTTGAAAAAACATCTGCAGTAAATAAGTAGATAAATTGATGTTTGTCCAGCAAGACTGTACTGTATAAAATCTATGTTCATTTGCAGAAAGTGAAAGCTATGTGAGAAACACAATCATTGTTTGCAAGTTTTAAATTGTTTAATTTGTTTTTTGCCAAAATCTCTAATTTCTAATTAGGATTGTAGGTCCTCTCCAAACACACACACCCCACCCCCCAATGTCACTCAGAATGGCATCTGTACATCCCTGACTGTCTTTTGATAATGAATACGCCAAGGGGACCCAGAGTTAAGTCTAGGCCTCAGAACTAAGAACATTTCCATCAAAGATGGTTTGCTAATAATAACGTAAGGAGGGAAAAAAGCTATTTGCTTCTTTTGTGGCTCTGACCCTCCCTTGGTCCTGCCAGGCCTGCCTGAGCATCAGCAGAGTTCAGTGGTAATTAAAGCAACAGTGTTGTGAAAAAAGTGTGAATTACTTTTACAGGAAGACTTGGATGTTGCTACTGACTGACAAAGCACAGCGGGGGACTCGGCTGGATATTAAAGAGTGATGGTAGTCCCCGTATTGTAAGGTGGCTTTTCAGCACAATGCAAAATTGTGACTTTTCACAAGTTGATATCTCTGGAACCATTCGAGTTATCAGCTTAAAATTTATATATATTTTTTCCCCTTTGGCAAGCTTGTGGGCAAAACTATGTCAGATTTCATGACATGTGAGAGGGTAGTTGGAATTACGGAGAGCTAAAGTCTATTTTCTTTCTTTTCTTCCCCTGGATTTTGACTCTCTCATGGAATTATTTCAACCTTGAAGTTTGTTGAAAATAGTGAGGCAAACGTTATCAAGAGATCATATGTTCAACCCTCTCTTGGCAAGTTACTTCAATGTCAAGTATCCAGGCTTTCTGTTTCTGTCATTTTTAAAGAAGAAAGAAGTACAGACCAAGCACTCTGTTGACAACGCCAAGAAATGCCGGCTCTGCACTCTCCGCACTGGAGCATAAATACCCACATGGAGGGTGGGCTCTTCCACCAGACCAGCCAGGAAAACCTCTGATTTTGCTCTCCATCCTGCAAATTTTATTAAATCACCTCCCACACAGGTGTGATACAATGTTGATTCTGCTCCTTATCGAGGGAGGAAAAAATAGCTAGATCCAGTAAACCAATTTTTGTAGACAAGAAGCAAGAGAATAAAATAGCTCAATAGACTATTAGCCCTTCTTTATTTTGTAAGCTAACAGACACTATCTGTTGGTATTTCTGAATCAGGTTCACAGGTTCACATGTAGAACTCTATGTAAAGGCATCACCAGCAGACCAGGGAAGCCTGCATTGGTAGAAGATATTATAAGATAAGAGGGGTAGTGAGAAATATGTACGTAATGTGAGCCTGTATTGATGAAATATTAATAATGTAAATAAGGAATAATTTACCATGTAATATGCAAATGCTTTTTATTGTTTATCACTTTCTTCCTTAAGTAAATAAGTAAATGGGTTGAGACAATGAGGGAAATTTCTGCTCTGGGCAGATTTTTAGCAGCCCTGTCCACATATGACAGCAGCGGGAGACTCTGTGGATCAGTGGGGACAGCGAAGCAGACGGCAACGTAGTACGGTGGATGAGAACTTGGCCATCAGAGTCCTCATGTCCTCACAAACTGTGGAACCCCGATCTCCTCAAGGGGAAAAACAGTTGGAATAAGCATTCCCACCTTATTTTGAAGATTAAGGGAATGAAGATGTACAAATTGTTCTGCAAAATGCATACAGGAAGTAATTGATAAAAGCTAACTGCTACTATCATCATCATCAAAGTAGGTGGTATTATGAAGCAAGGTGATTCGGGAAATTCCCTTTGCTTTCACATATACTGATTTTGCATGATTTGTCAAGCAGTGGGGTAATATTTTAAAGTAGTAAAAGGTTATGAAATGGTATTTAGGGGATGAGGCTATGACATGCCAAACAATAGACGGTTTAAATAGACAACAATGTTATAAACAGAATAACTGGGGTGCTCAAAATGACATTCTTTCACCCCACTAGTGCAAAGTTTAATTAGTATGTAAATGGCATACTCATTTACAATTGACATAATGCCACCTCTTTTCATGCCAAGCTGTCAGGGCCTATGAAACTGTAAAATTCCTGACACTAAACATTTGTTGTAAACTGATCCTTCCAAAAGTAACTTAACTAAAGCTGAAAAGGCAGGAAAGGTGATAATCACTTTTTTAAAAAATAAATCCACTTCTTCATTCCTTTTTTTCCAGAGAAAAGGGCCCAAACTGCTTTTGAGGAGAGATTCACCATATTATATTGGGCTGAGGGTATATTCTATAAAAGAAAAAAAAAAAAATACATGAACCACCAACCCCAGAGTGATGAAAAGCAAAACGGGTAAAGAAAAAAATACCCTCAATTGACATAGCTATTTTCATCACATCAAATCAGCCATCTGTTCTTGACATAGTTTATTATCATTAGGAAGATTTTCTCAATTCAGACATGGTGATGAGGAAAGATGAAGAATTAACCAGATAAATAGCCAATTTGGAAAATTCAGGCTGAGACCCTTTTCCTCAATTTCCATTCCCTCCTTTCTCCCTGCTCTACTCTCACACTCCAATTATTCCAAGAAAAGCTTCAATGACATGATTAGACATGTTTATGGTGTTGTTTTTCTCCCACTTGCATAGGCATAACAAACTAAACACACTAGGTATCAAATGACATAAAGGTGATCGACATTGTACAATAAAAAATAATAATTTTGCATTGTTAAAAATGACTGCATAAGCTTAGAATGACAGGTGGCTATAGTTAGGGGTGAGAGAATTAAATACTCTGAATTGAAGTATAAAAATGCTGATGTTTTCCTCCTAGAATTTATTCATTAGAAATCCATCAATTTACCTTGGGATAAGAGTGGTTAGAGAAGAAAATTTTCTTTGAAATCATCACGAAGTAATTCCAACAGCTCTGTGTGAGATAATCTGGAAGAAAAAAGTAAATGTTGGCAAGCAATAATAAAAAGAAAATGTTTAAATTGTATGCTTGATATCAACTTCATAAAGTGAAGTTGGAAATTCACAAAAGTTAAGCTCATAAATTTAGAAAAACATAGCTAAAAGAAAACTCTCGACAAATATCAACACAACTATTTTTAAAAAATTAGGCAAGCTGGCTATTTTATCTACATAATGTCAAAAAAAACTATAATTCTCCCTCAAATAGCTCACAAATTCATTTTGTTATATTTGTATGAATCTAATGCAGAGATTTTGGATTATACTTAAAATCATATCTTTCTGACTAGAAACTTAAAAATGTTAAGGGCAGTAATTACAAATTTAAACCATGCAGACTCCTTCACAAAGTAACTGCCATGCTACCATACAGGTTATATTGTATTGATAAATTTTTCTTTGATAACATTCCTGTGATCTCTTATTCTAATCTTTTATACCTCAACATCTGATTTTCTATTAATTGCTTAAAAAGTAACTTTTTATAACTCTTCATTCTTCATATTCTCTTATCAAAGTCATCATTGTTGCTAGACCTTTCTTCACCGACACACTCTTTTCTTGCTTTCATTTATGTCATAGGATGTTGATTATCTTCACAACTCTTAGAATGCTCTTGGTTTTCTTTGTTGCTCCGAGAAAGCTAAATATGGACATGGGCATTCCACCACAGTATTCATCAGTTCAACAAATGCCTAATAAGAACCTACTATAAGCCAGGTGTTGTACTAAGTGCTCAGGATATAGTAGTGAACCAAGCACACATGGTCCTTGCCCTCAGGGAGCTCAAATTTCTAGACCAAAAGGTCAACAAACTAAGGCCCTTGGGCCAAATCCAGCTGGTCACCTGTTTTTGCAAATAAATTTTTATTGGAACACAGCCATACCAACTCATTTACATATTGTCTGTGGCTGCTCCTGTATGACAAGGGCAAAGTTCAGTAGTTACAACAGAGACCTTTGGTCCACAAAGCCTAAAATATTTAATCTCTCTGGCTGTTATAGAAAATGTCAGCTGATCTGGTAGACTGTAAATCTATCTTCAACTGTTCCAGCTCTTTGATCTTTGTCTTGGAGAGTACATTTTTTCTTTCTTCTTTTTCTTTTTCTTTTTCTTTTTTTTCTTTTGCCCAGGCCAGAGTGTGGGGTATAATCACAGCTCACTGCAACTTCCAACTCCTGGGCTCCAGCTATCCTTCTGCCTCAGCCTCCCAAGTAGGTAAGACTAAGGTTCATGGGATCATGCCCAGCTAATTTTTTAAATTTATTCTTATTTTTATTTTTGTTGGGCTAGGTCTTCCTATGTTGCCCAGGCTGGGCTCAAACTTCTGGCTTCCAAGCAATCCTCCCACCCGGGCCTCCCAAAGTGCTGGGATTACAGGAATGAGCCACCACATCCAACACATTTATGATTTCTTATGGTTTCAATCACTTCTTATACAGAAATGACTCCATAAACTCTCTTCATAGTCATGACCCCCCTTTTGAACTTCAGTCACTTATTTTTATCTGCCTGCTCACCATCCATGCCCCCCCAAGACACACACAGTGGTGAATAAACCACCATTATTTCATGAGAACTAAGATTGAGTCCATCTTTTCCCCAAAGCCAACTGTTTCCTACTATCACTCTCCCAACCATAGGACTTGAAAATTTGGAGTCTCTGGTTTTCTTTCAACATCCAGGTAACAAAAAAGTAAGGAAAAACAAACTTACATCTTGTTTATATTTATCAACTAATATTTGTATCTCTGGCACCCAGCGCAGTGCCATCAACCAGCAAGCGGAGAGAAATTCAAAATAGTTTGTGCTGCCAATACCTGCTTTCTGCAGAGCAATCCCACAGCTCTCACTTTTGTTCATGTGTTAATTTATTTGCCATGGTGAACACTCAGGCTGATTTATGGAAACCTCTCTGACATCAGAGAACTTAGAGGGAGGTAAATGAGTAAAGTGGGACTAGGGATGGACACAGCATTGTCGTCTATTAGCTGATTATCTTGGAGCTAGTTAATTTCTCAGAATTTCAGTCCCTTCTGTGGTAACCTGGAATAATAATAATAGCTACCTCATTTCTAAAGGAATAGCTAAAGGAAATGAACCATATAAGTGTTCAGCATGCTACCTGATACATAGTTGGAACCCAACAGGTGTTCCTAGAAGATAAAAGGAAAGATGGAGGTGGGGGACTAAAGTCAGGCCTAGTATTCCCCTGGCTTAGCATAGGTCTGAATTATGTTCAGCCTGGGATTATATTCCAAGGCCATCCATAGTAGGGTAGTCAAAGAGAACTATTGGATTTGGGAATACCTAACCAGGAGTCAATTAACATTCATTGAGCTCCTATGGCATATGAGCCAATCTCATAGGCCTTTTACATATGTGTTATTTCATACAACTACTCTCTGATGTGGACGTTACTTTTCTCATGTTTATGACCCTAAGAAAAATATGGCTGGAAGAGGGACACATTGCTTGTGTCCACACTGTTATTTAACAACAGAGTGAGGACTTGAAACTAGTTCTAGGTGATTCTAGAGTTTTCTATACTTTCTCAATCACCAAACTATCTCTCCTAACAACTTCTCTTGTCTTCTCAAGTCACTCTTACCAATTTTCATGAAGACCATTATCTAACTAGCTTGCGTTTCATTATCCCTTTCTACGTCCCAACAGATTTCATTTTATTAATAGAAAAGGTAGCAAATATTTATAAAAATTAAGTCCACACATTTGGAATAATAATTCTTGAAATGTCTGAAAAAAACTAAGACTACCTTGAAAATAAGTACAACACTCACTTTAGTAGGCAGCCGCCTACTAAGCATGAATGCAGCTTGGTCCCTGGTGGGAGCCAGGACTGCTATGGCTGGCTTTGCGCCTTTGGGCTCGTTCTTTGAGTCTGTCTGAAAGATAATCTTGATTTCTAGAAAGTCCAATTTCCTCTCCTTGTCTGCTACAGCAGGGAATTGGTAGAAACTGTTTACAGCCAGAACTTGCAGGGTGCAGCTCTCAAAAGCTGGCTCATATATAAGTAAATAGTAAGTAAAATAAGGATAAAATGATGACATTCTTCAAGAAACAGCTTTAGGTTCTTGAAAATGATTATTTCTGTTTGCCTGCAACTGTAAAAATGAGTTTCAGGTAATAGCTTTTCTTTTATATGGTAAATGATGAATGACCATTTAAACATTGACTCATCTAGCAACCAAGATATAAAAAAACATAAAAACTTACTGTGCTAAAAGGGAATGTGAAGACTCAAGTCACCTGATTTTTCAACTCAGTGATTACATCATGGGGACATTCATTTGTCTTTACTTCAAGTCTAGAATTGCATAAAATGTATTTTGCCAGCCAAAAAAATTAAGCCCTTTAGCTTGTACACATTATATTTTTTCCTAACCTTGCAAATATGTTTTTTCATCCAATTTGGTATATCCTTTTAGAATTTGAAAACTGTGATGTCAAGTCAAACTCTACCCATTAAAGCACCCCCCAAAAAAGGTAGGAGTATCCTTCTTTGAATATATATTTTGCCAAAAGAATACATAAGGATTATAAAGGTCAGGCCTGTCAAAACCTGGGATGGGAGTGAGAAGAAAGACCTAAGGACCAAGCAGGAAAAAATTGATTTTTGTAGGCACTTATTATTATTTCTATATTATTATTTTTTTACTCTTCAAAACACATAAGTATTCCATGTTAAATTTCCACCTACTTCAATGCTAGCAATATAATGTCTTACAACTAAAGTGTTTAAGAGAGAAAAGCACAGAGTACAGAAATAGAAGGAAAGAGAAAATATAAATAATTTTTCTGATATCATAAGAAAAGGAGAAACTTGACTCTGAAATTTTTAATCAGTACTTGTTTGCAAAATCAAAAATTCTCAAAATTCAAGCAATTCAGTATCTTCCTTCCTTAGGTACAAGTGCTACAGGAAAAACATTTTAATTTAGATAAAAGTTACTATCTATCACCACTCCCCTTCCCAGAGCAGGATTTGTCAAATCCACTGTTTTTCCCCATTAGCCTACAGCTCTTAAATGGTTTTCCAAAGAGTGAAGTAAGTGCTATTGGGTAATTAATGCCAAATCTTATCCCAGTTGATTCCACTCCTTAAATAAGAATTCAAATCTGTGCCCTCATCTAAGTGTTATTAATAGAAGTTGGCTGAGCTAAATGTCAACACAACATTCAAAGAAAAACTACTTATCTTCCCTTTCAGGAGTTTGCATTTGTCAGACTACAATCACCTGTGTTTATTTCTACAACAGCATGAATTCCAAAAGCCACCTAATGAGTTTGAAGAGAAGGCAATTTAAAAAACCATGGATTCTTTCTCCAATATGGATTATTGTTAGGGTTTTTAGCTAATATTCCACCAAGCATTGGGTGGAATTTAGCTAATATCCAAACCTTCAAATAAAATCTGAGAAATTCACTTGTTAGGTTCCATTTATATAACTACTATGAAGACTGACCCTTAACTAAGTTCCACAAACCTTACTCCTTTCTTACTGGTAACTTTGGGGGAATAAATTACCTAAACCTAGTTATCTATCTCTCTCTCATTCTATCAAACACACTCACACAATCAAACACATGGATTCTCCTTTGTAGTATATAGTTCTTCTACCAAACACAGTGAATGCATCTGACTCTTTGATAGTTATGTTGTTAACACACAGAGATCACACCTAAACTTCTGAGGAATCAGGAATGAATTAAACACTTATTACCTGAACAGTCTTGGTTATCAATTAGACAATGTAGATAGACATGTTTCTTGAAACACTAGATTCTAATACGATTCTAACTAGATTCTAATAAACACTAGATTCTAACAAATTCTAAAAGATTTATTCTGACTCTTCTACATTACATTCAAATATATTTGGAAAACTCTAGATTAAACAAAGTAAAGCAAGTATCTTTTCTACTAAGCTTCCCGGGGAAATAA